TCTAACTGCCTCCCTACAAGCACGAGCAGAGGAGGTATACTCCTCTTTGGTGATCTCTCCCTGTTTCCACTTTTTATGTGCTCCCCTTTTGGCCCGTAGGCCCTGGATTTCTCTGGTCAGCCAAGGAAGCCTCCTGGCCCCTTTCCTTCTTTTTCCTCGCATCGGGATTGTCTCCCTTTGTGCCCGAAGGATCATTTCCTTAAGGCACAGCCACCCTTCTTGGGCTCCCATCACTTCAAAATTCCTACTCTGCTGTGCATCCTTGACTAATCGCCTGAGTTCATTGAAATCAGCTTTCCTAAAGTCTAGCACTTTCACCCTACTAGTTACCTTACCCACTCGACGTCTTATGAAGTATTCTATTATTAGGTGATCATTGTCCCCCAGATGGCTACTGATCTGTAGGTCCCCTACCATGCCATCCCCCGTTGCCAATACCAGATCCGGTAAGGCATTCCCCCTAGTGAATCGCATTGAGCTGAAGTTTATTTTATCTTGTTTTCACGGACTTTTTATTCTAGAAGGGGAACTGTACTTCTATGCTAGAAGGGGGACCCAACCAAACTTTGCACTTGTCAGGGATGGGACTGTGAGACTTGTTGCAGGCTTGTTACACTGAAATCTTGTGTATAATATCCATGTTGAAATAAAAAAAATATTGCTGCCTCCCTCATTAGGGAACTGCTTAACAATCTTCAGGGAACAAACAGATTAAAGTAACACAAAAATGCTGAATTGAAGACATCAATCAGTTGGTCCTTTCAAGGTCTTTTTTTTTTTAATCTAGGCTTCATCTTGGACTTTTACTCCCTTGACAATACATTCCTGGAGTTGTGGACATAACATGATTTACTGTTATCTGGTTCCTTATATGCTTTCCCAGAACAGACAAAACTAAGTAGGCTTTAAATATATTTTTATTTCTGTGTTCTTTCCTTTTTATATTAGATTTTTTTTCAGTCAAAGGACAGCATTACAATCTAACAACCAAAACCATATTACATACACACAGGCACACCACGTAACATGTTCCAGGCAGTCATATCCTTCAGTCCATGAACACATTGTAAATGTTTAAACAATGTCCTACAAGAAATAGACTCCTTCTTTCTACTAGGCTTACTTACATTGCTTTAACATGTAACACACAACAAGGATTTTTTTGTTAGCTTTGTTTTGAACTAGGTTTCAGTTCTACAGTATAAGTGATGTAGAAAATGTGGGGCTCTTGTCTACTCAAAACCCCTATTTTAAAAGCTGTTCTGCTATTGTAAGGCATACAATAGATTCTGACATGTAAATCAACTCCTTGACAGAACAGAGCTGATAAATTCCTAGTATCTGCTTGATCTTTTGGGGTTTATTGTTCCTAGAATATTTGTAGTCTAAACAAGCCAACTACACACAAACATGCCATTTGCTATTCTTCAGAGTGGTGGTGTGAAGGAAAGGGGAAAGAGGTGAGCAAACCAGAAAATAGTTCTCAAACTCATTTTTTAAAGGTTTTTAAGGCAACCCTTTCAAACCAAATAGCACTTTTTCTTTAGACAAACCTTTGAAAGAAAAAAATGGATATTCAACACACAGTCTATTTTGGCAAAGTGCTGGTGGTAATTATGTCTTCTTACTATGATGTTTTTGCTCACAAAGTGGTGAGAAATCAGATTTTAAGCTGGGGTTTTCAAAGGATACCTAAATCTTGTAGATACAAAATATTGGGATGTGGGGGCCTAATTCTGTCTGGCTCCTCTGAAAATCCCAGCACTAGATTTTTTTTTCCAGAACAGGATTTTTAAATTAAATTCCCAGTTCTCTTTTGCATAGGACTTTAACTCTAGTTCCCTAATTTTTTCAAGTTCTGCAGCTGTTTTAAAAAGATACTAAACCATGCAAAATGGTGAAAGGCACATACACAATCAATACAGTATGAGGAGGTATAATGCATATAGATGAGTATAACAAGTGGAATACCTAGTTGTGGGGATTGATATATACAAATAAAATATTGCAACACTCAAATGCTACATTATAGTTATGATACAGTAGAAAAGACATTACAATGTTGCTATTACAGTATGAACTGTTCCCTAATCTCCAGAGCTGCAAAAGCTATTTTTAAATAACAAAACTGAGAACAAAAGTTGTTCACAGTAAGAATTATGTTTAAAATAGTTTGTCAGCTTTACACCTCAGTTTGTAGGCAAGGTTAACGTGGAAAGTCAAAGATGCTTTAGGTTTCTTCTCTCCTATGACCAGTTTTCAATTTACATATTGTGGGGGAGGAGGGGTTTCCTCCACTTACAAAGAGTGAGATATCTCACCCCATGTAGGTGGAAAGTGAAATACTGCTCAGTTGAAATCAGGGGGAGTGTTGCCATTGGCTTCAAAGGAGCCAGGATTTCATTCAGTCTCTGATGACTTGCCACGATGGAAGACTGAGCAGTGGCAATAGCAGTTGTTATAACAGTAATTCAAAGCCGATGCCTACTGAAAGAAGGGTTGCTAGTTGTAGACACAAGGAGAGAGGCAACATCTGCTGAATTGTATCAGTGAAATTAACATGTCCTAAGTGTCTACCAAACCAGGCCTACTATTGGGGATACTGGTTTTGACCAAGTGGTTTAGATTGGTGTACAGCCTTAATGTTTCATCAAGTGATCGATAACTGGCATCCTGTTTCTCCTTATAAACAGTGGGTTAAAGATGGTAAGAACTTGAAACTGTACTTGTTTACTATGTAAAGGGGGTACATGGCATACTAAGAATCATCTTGGGTATCAAATGGAACTGCTTATTCTTTCACAGTTATCTTTTTAAGGAAAACGCGTTATTATTAATTCCATGAACCAACTCTTTCAAAAAAGTTTTTGCTTCTGCCGCAGGCCAGGGCACAAACTCAGAGGCAACGTTAGGCCTCTGACCCTTATTTTTGATAGTCAAGATTGCAATAACCCTTTGTTATAAGCTCAAGGAGCAGTCAGATGCTGCGTGCTCCAAGTTCCAGGCTGCCTTCTCTTGGCAGAGCAAAAGGAAGAGGCAATATCCTCTTAAATTGGGCAAGTTCACAATTCTCACACACAGGAAAACACAAGTGATATAACAGTGACACCAAAGCCTTTCCCACCAATTTTTTAATCTTCTCTATCTTATGCCTGTTACTAAAATTCCTTTCACTTCAGCAGAATAAGAGCCTGGATTATGGGTCACTAAAAATATTCAAGTGACTGCACCTTTGGCAGCTCAAAAAATCCTAAAGAACAAGTCCAAAGGAATGGACGGAGGGGAATGTACCCAATTTGCCCTTGTCTGCCTCTTCCCTGTGGCTCCAGAACCAGTTCTAAACACAGAATGGAATTGGTATAACTTCTCTTCCAATTGGTCAAGGCTGACATGAAATGAAGCCTTGTTTGACACATTGTTTTTTGTATAATAATCTGTCTTCTACAGGGACCAGTGATGCACCTGAACCTCAAGTAAATATTATGGTGTGCCTTATCTTGCTCTTATTTTGGGATCAAATTGGCTGGAGTAACTCCAGTGAGGTCACTGGAATTAAAAATCGTGAGAAAGGAGAACTGGGTTTATACTGTCCCTAAAGACATGTTTTTGTTTGTTTGTTTGTTCCTTGGATGTAGAAGCACTGTAATGACCCCAATACCTACACAGCTAATAATTATTAATCTACTGATTACAAACATTTAAAGATAAGATGAGAGGCTGAATAGAAGATGGGGATGAATCATCAGTTGGTAGTAGTGATATAATACTATTTTCCATTACTGTTCGATGCCAAAAAGCAAGCTTGCATTCCGAACTGGGAATGGGTGCACTACCCGGACACACATGGTGTCTTCTGTTACAAACCAGGAGCAAACAAGCTGCATTTCAATTCCAGGGTAGGAAGAAGAGAGGTCCCGGACCTTTTTTTCTGTTGTAGTGTGGTGCTTATGCAAATGTTAAGAATCATTCTCTGGCACAGATCCTGTTTTTTAGCTACATTCTATAGTAGCCAGATTTCATTTTGAATAATACAGATAGCTGTAATATCTTTTTAAGTGACTTCAATAACTGAAAAGCACCGATCTTCTCCATTACTTGCAAGAGTTTTGGACAGGGAATTATCATAAGACCCTTTGCAAATTTTTTTTTCTTTTAAATCTCAGAGGAGATTTGTATGGTGCATGGCTTCACAGAATAGGTGAATAGATTTTTCTCCCCCTTGGGGTGAGTGAAAGAGAAAAAATCATTGGTACTAAAAGACAACTATATATTGATTTAAAATGTACAAAGAGAAATACCTATGGTCCTAAAATAATGGTCTTTGGGATGAACTATATATATATGGCAGCTACCATAAACATTTTCTTTCCTCAGACTGGGCGTTTACAAAAAGCTAGATGCTTCTGGAAGGAGATATTAATTTGTACTGGTTTCAAAATGTGGGATTTCCAGGGTATTTTTGCTAAAGGGGATGCCTTCCATAGCACTCGCATCCTCTCCCAGTGAACAGTTCTCATCACCCTTTAAATGCAAGAGGAACCTGGCCAAAATGCAGTATAGAGATCCTGTTGTATCTAATGCATATTAACATGGTGCCATAGCTGTAGTCTAGAGCTCAGTGACTGAAATGTCCCTGACCTTTTTTTGAATTCACCACATGGAGCAAGATCAACTCACTAAGCTGCATCAGAAAGTGTGTTACACACTGTGTGGTGGAATACATACTTACAAGTAGGCCCCAACATGTGTTTTAAAATAAAAGGATGGTATTGCCTCTAGTTTTGTATTGGATGCTGAATGGCTGATTCTGCCCCTACTGAAGAAAACTTACGTCAGGGGGCTAAGGCGCAGGCCTGAAAGCAACACTGCATTGCCTTGTAATAGGAGCAGACTGTCCCCACATGCAATAAAAGCACTGTGTTTGGAGAAGGGTAGGAGATGGGATGGCATTCTCCTTGAGGATCCCCTTGAAAAGATTCCCCAAATCACTAAAGATGGAAGGATTTACCTCCAATCCCATGCCAGTCAGAGTTGGGTAGCGGGGAGAGGAGGGATGCTGAGAAGCCAGGATCATTCATTCACAGACCCTGCACTCCCACATTGCTTCTGACTCCAGATCCCATGAAGGGGAACTTAGCAGAAAACATGGAGTTGGGGAGAGGGGCGTTACTGTTTCCACTTAAATGCTACATGGTCAGAGGAGTAATAGTGGGCCACTCCATAACTCTTGCCCTCCCCAGCCTGCCTTGTCTCCTGTGACCTTTTAGGAAATCATTTTATCTAATGTTGGTGCCTGTGGTGTCTGCAGCCCTGTCCAGATAAGAAAATCTGAGCCAAAAATGCTTATTTTTTTCAGTAAAGGGCTGCCCTTCTTTTCCACCATGCAATTTTTACAAAACTGAAAAAAACAAAAGTAATAATATTCCTTCCAGAACAAACAACATCTGTAGTGCCTCCTCCCCTACAGTTCCCATTTTTCATCCCACCTGGCTAATTCCAAGTCATTTTGCACCAGTCACACCCTACCCTGCTTCCATTGACTCAAGAAGAAAGCAAAAGCTAGGTTCAGCTGTGGTCACTGCGAAACATGGGTGTATTCTGAGACCCATCTCTGAGCCTGTGGTTCTCAACTGGGGTGTTTTGAGAAACCCCTTCTTTCCTAGGGGTGCTGTGACACAAGTACTACTACTGCTATGGCTAGGTAAAACTGCCCCACGTGCTCCCTGTCAGCCTAAAGCAGGCAGGAGAGTTGCCTCAAGTCTTCAGCTGTTTCTGGTCATGCTCTCAATCCAGAACATTGCTCCTGGAAACAGGCATGCAGGACAGTTGCCCCTGTCCTGTGTGCTTGTTTCCAGGAGACACCATGCAGGGTCAGTGGGGAGGCCTGGAGTATGAACCAGCTCTCCTGCCTGATCAGACAACCTTACTGCAGGAGGAGTGTGCACATGTGCCACAGCCCTAGTCTGGCTTTACAGGAGGTGCGCAGGGCAGCTTTACCTGGAGGCAGCAGCACCTGATTAGGAACGACTGAGGTCAGTTGAGCACATTGATTGTTTTCAACTGGGAGTGGTGCCACATTCAGAGAAGTTGTGGAGGGGGCCTGACTCAGAACCACAGCTCTGAGCCCTTGGCTACCCCCTCAAAACCCCCAGGGGCTTTGATGCACTGTCAAACATATTGCTTAAAATACATGGGTAGCAATTTACACTAACTCAGTCCTACAAGAGGAGAAAGTTACACTTCAGTGATTTCCATGTGAATCATGGGGCCCACGTGAATGAAGCAGGACTGCTACTCGGTGGACACTTAGAACATGGCTGCTGCTAACTCTCAGCCTCTGATACAGTCATGCTAATACCAATCCAAACCCGTTCCTTTTCCAAAAAGGCAGCAGCTGCTAGCAGAGCCTTTTGCTCAGATCGTGCAAAGAAAACTAAAAGGAATTCTGCCAAGTTTAACAGTCTTTCAGGACATGCAGATTAGTACTCAACAACCTCACAAAAGAAAACGCATCAGAATCAAACGGTTCCAAACTACACACTTTTCACAATCCCAACACACTTGTTTGTCCCTGAGTCCATGCTGTAATTTCCCCTATACGCATAAAAAAAAAATTGAGAACTCCACCTAGCCAGTGTGCAGGATAGGAGCATGGCCGTCTTGCAGTGCAGGACACGAACACGGCCTTCTCGCAGACAGAAGTTGCTTTGTGGGTTTGAACATTTTGTTGGGAGCATCACGCTGTAAACCACAATTGAAAATACTGAATGTAAAAACAGCTCCACACATCCACTCAGCGTTGTAAAATATTTACACGAACGCACGCACACAAGTCTGTTTTAAGCACCGTTCATTTGTTTTAAGATGAAAGGAGAGTTATGTAACCCCAGGGTGGAGGCTTTTGCTTGATCCTGAAAGTACCAAGACAGGAAATTTTGTAACAGGCCAGTGTTTCTAGTGATCACTCTTCTCCCATGATAAGAATATTGCAGGTCACCTGTAAGAGCAGTGTGAACATATTTTCCCCCTGGTTTATGAGGTTTCACTCACACTTTCTAATTCTTCAAAAAGGGTTAATAAGTGATTAATAGTTTTTACGCGTATGTTACAGGCACAAATAACAGGAACACAGGACTTGGAGGAGCTTCCCAGGCTGTTGTGTCTAGTTCCCTTTGTTCAAATAACCATTTATTCAGAGAGTCCCTATATGATATAGAAGGGTATAAGCCCTTGTAATAGTGACCTTTTGACCTGCTTGAACAGGTGTGCTGGTTCAGTAGTTAGGGATGCCCTAACATCTACATTGTTCTGGCTCCTCACCCAGCTGCAACAGGGCACCTGGTCATTTTGGCCTATTGCTTCCTTGTGTGCTGTTGGCCTGCAGAAAGTGATGTGCCGTTACCCTGCCAGCCAAAGGGGCTCTGAGGCTCAAAGAGCCTTTGATTTGAGTGAGCCATTGAATTCTCAAAACAATGGCTTGACCTTCTACTTAAAACCATATTAATAATTTATTAACCCCTTATATTTGCTACAAAGCATGACAGTGCTTTTGCTTGGTTTGCCATGTTGGCCAGGGCTGATGTGATAAAAGAGTAATACAGAACAAAGAGAGAAAAACAGATGATTTGAATTCTCTTTCTTAAAAGCAGGACTTAAGTAACAACTTTAGATACTCAAGCAAACAACAAATGTTAGCATAATGCTCACAGTCTGGGTATTGCACCCAGTGCCACTGTGCTAATGGTGCTCTAGAACCTCATCCTACAGTGCTGAGGTCAAGATGATTTTGCTATTAACATTGGTCGCTGCTGGTTTAGGCCCTAATGGAGTTGTTTCTGCTTCTCTCTGTCCCAAACCAGAGAGGGTAGCAGGGGAAGCATAGGATGATTTTGAAGAGGGACTTCTCTTACTGAAAGGTTTTCCAACAAATTAGCAGACACAAGATTCATTAAGTAGTGCAATATGAATGACATTCACAGAAAGCTCTTTGCATTTCTTAGGCAACTTTGCTGCCTCCCAGCCAGTTTTCTTCTGTTTGAGCTGCAGAGGAAAACTCACAATATAACATGCAACTGCAAATTTTGCCAGAGTTCAAAGGTTTGGGAACCTGGCAAGTAAGATGTCATGTTAGATTTGTGCTTGTCAGAATTGGGGGAGGTGTCTACTTCGCAAGTGCAGCAGGCAAAAGCTGGGCTGGGAGGCAGCAAATTACTGATCTTCAGGTACGTCTATTCCAGCAAGGAAGTCTTCTGCTAAGTCCTGAAACAGCCTAAGTGCTGCCGAACACATTGACCAAAGACTCAATCTCCAAAATGATAACCCCAAATCTACATTGTGTCTTAAAAACCTCTGAAATCTGATGCAGACCTGTGAGTGCTTGGGACATATCCCCTTACTGTCCTTGCAAGCACTTCAGACAATTTTCATGAACTAACACACCCTTCCCATTTGTGCCAGGGGTAACTCTTAAGAAAAAGGCATTTAATGTGAAACCAAGGAAGTGAAAGGATGTAAACTTTCTAGGAAGTCAAGAAGTTGCCAGTCCCTGGTAGAGAATCAACCACAAAAAAACCCATTTGTCTTGACTCTACACTATCTTGGTGTTAGCTTCAGCAGTAAGGAACTGATCATCCATCACTCCTTTCCCTGCTTCAGCTCCTGGAGACAACACCAAGAATGTGTCAATAGGTCATGGGGTTACTGTGATGACAATGGGAAGGAATACTGGAAGTTTAAGCTCTCTCTCTTTCTCTCTAACTGCACTTAAACTACCTTGCCAAGAGATCTGTGAAAACACACACTGATGACTCCACTGACAAGGGTGTAAAAATAAAGAGGATTAAATAGCTGATCCTGTGTCTATGGGAATTTTCCCCTTAACTAATGAAAGCATAGATCATTTAAAATGGGTCCAGGCTACAGAATGTGGATCTCAACTGGAACTTCTTGAAAGGTGTGTTTGTTTTGAAGCTCAGATTTGGATTATTGGTTGAGATCCATCTTTAGTTACTTTATTTACTAAGGATTTAATCAGAAATAGCTGCTTGATGCTTCCTTTCCACTACCACAGGGTTGTATTGCTGGTTGTTAACCTTTGCCCAGCTCTATTCTTTCAATCAAAGCAGGTTCAAACTTATTTCCATGTCCCAGAAGAGCCTTCTGCTCAGTGGTGACAGTTGAGCACCCAATCTTAGTACAGATACACACAAAACTTTGAAAGGCCCTGAATTAGGATGGTTGGAGAGTTCAAGGCTGGTTCAAATCTATAGTATAGTGTGCTAAAATTCAACAACTATTTATAATTAAAAAATTAAATTAAAATTGAAACTTTAAAAACTATTTAAAATAAAATATTTGATCCTGCATAATAGCAGGATCCCATGTCACCTACATTATATCTAGAGGCTACAAGCAAGGTGATATTAGCACACCTCCATGCTTCCAGATTTGTCCATCATGGCTCCTGGAAGCTGGTCATTCTAAGTTTGTTTATTAAAATGCTTAGGAGCTCAATTATTAAAAGTTTTAAACAGACACTAAGATAGCATCAGCCCAATATTTAATATTATTTTTAAAAAAATTCCACAAACCTAATATGAAATGAAGGGTTCTTAATAACATTTTATCAAAGAAATTCCAAAGAAAGCAGTTCATTTGGGGATTTTGCTCTTGCCTTGCATGATGGAAACTACACTGTACAAAAGCAGTGTACAAATGTGTGTGGAAATGACTCACCAGAGGAGTGAGTGAAGTGAAAAATCTGGGAAATCATGATCTTGAAAGGAGAAAAGTAATTCAGTAAATATTTACAGTTTTACTTAGCTTGTGTATTATTAGTGTATGATTTTTTTTTATCTTGACAGTGGCTTTTCAAGGATAAAAATACTCAGGGCTAAGCTCATATTTGGTGTATCTGTATTAAAACCAAGTTACACTGGGGATGAACTGAGCTATTCATATTAGAGAGTACTGAGATAAAAACGGTATATGTTATTATTCTGACTGTACAAATGAACTTCTGCCCATTTGAACACTTGGAGCAGTATTTCCTACAGCAACCTAGAAACTATCAGAATGCAGAAAGTCAGCCCTGCCTATGACACTAGAAGAGAGGACCTGCCATATCTCTTTCCAGGAAGGCAGACTTAAGATCTACAACACACAGTTCTTGCCCCTGGGCTTGCACCTTCTCCACCACTCCTGTTTCCAACCTATTTCCTTAAATAAGACTCTCTCTTTTCACCTTTCTTCATTTCCCAATCTCTCTCACTTCCTCTCTCACTTCACATCATTTCATGACCAGCTTCGACATACTTTACTATCTGTGTGAGCACTGAACAAGCCCCTTTCTCTGCTGTCATTCCACAAATTTAACATGGCAGCTGGACAGGCAGAGTCATAGCATTGTGAAGAAGAATTTTCCCGCTGAGAACTAAGGGTTTTGGTAACCAGTAATGTTTTACTGCTTAATTTAGGAGCTTGTTGAAGGACTTTCACCATCCAAAAAGGTGTTTGCATTGAATGGCAGGCTGGCAATACTACAAAGACAATGCCAATATCCCTTGTATTATCTGGTGCCTCATGTCTTTGCAGTGAGTCCCTCTGGCCCTTACAGGTGCAGCATGGGCTAAACATTGAAGAAGACAGAGACACCTTCTGCCTGAAGGATGAATAAGCCACAGAGGAGCCATTAGAGAGGAGAGGAAAGATGCAAAGGGAGATGACAGCATGATTTACATACCCTTGCTCAGCATAATGAGTCCTGTGCTGCCTTTCTGCTGCCCTGTGGATGTCTGGGAGTAGGATGTTGGGATTGAGACCCCTACCTGCTCATAGAACAGTTACCAATTTCTCCTCCTGCTCTACTCCCTGGAGGCTTTCCTTGTGGTGAGACAGTTACATGGTGATGATTGGCCCCTCTCACTATCCCCCTGGTTCCCTGGGCAATGGGACTTACACAGTTCCAGTTGTTGGTTTTGTTTCCAAAGGTTTCATTTTTAGGACACTACCAAGATCTATTATTTAGACATTTCCAGATTATTGGCCTCTTGAGGTCACCCAAATCAATGAAGAAAAGAGAGTACCTTTCACCAGGAATTCAATGGTAGAGACAGCTTAAGGAAATAGTAATCAGTTTTAAAGCAGGGAGGGAATCTCTTTCTCCAATTTAAAACTTCTGTTCTGCTTGCAGTCACTTGGATAATCTACCACACAGATTTCCAATCAGCCTGCTGCCTGTGGTGATGTTTTCCTCTTCTGCAGGATGATTTGTTTGTAAACCATCATCATGAAACATTGCAAGCAAGACATTTGGGAGTTTTTTGTTTTGTTTTGAGGTTTTCTTTTGGGGGGGGCAGGGGGGGAGGGGGAATAAGGAGATTGTTTGTTGCCTAAGCTAGTGAAGAATTTTCCTGGTGGTATTGCAAGGCTGGGGTTTTTTTGTGTCCTTCTACAAGCTCCTGAGCTCCTAACCAGGTTTAACACTGGTAATCTGCTTAGAGTTTTGACATTTGTCCATTAAGCAAGCTCTTTGGAGTGGGTGGAACAAATATATTGTAAGAAAAGGTAAAGTAAATAGAAAGCACCAGAACACTAACATGGACTTTGCACTCTTTTAAAAAAAAGTAAATGCAGGATTCACAGCTCCAATTATATCACATTGGCTTGATTTCCAGAAGGGCTGAATGCCCGCAGCTCCTATGAGTTTTAGTTGGAATTAAGGGTATTCAACACTTCTGAACATCAGGCGTTAAATATTCCCTCTGAAGATGTTCAGGCAGGGTGTCCTCTGTTTCAGCCTGGCACCTTGGAACAGAAATTTAGCTAATAATACCATACAGATAAGGATCAGTAATCATACCCCAAACCCATCTACTGGGTTAATTACATCATCCTTTTTTTTAGAGAGAAAGAGAGAGTGAAGAGGGAAATATTTTCCATTACTTTTCCTGTATCTTAGGCCAAATTGCATATCTTTGTCGTTCCAATTTGCATTTGAACCTGCTATCTCAGTTTGTGACATCACAGTTTGTTTCCATGGAGAAGAGTATGATGTCATAAAGAAAGGCACTGGTGTCACAGGCTCCTTAGTAGGATGGCAAAAAACAAAGTAAATGACAGATAATTAGCCCTCCCATGAATTCAGAATAATATTGGTGTTAAGTTTAGTGAAATGTGGAGCTAACAACCATTGCAAGAACAGATGGAAGAACTTATGCATGTATAGGGTGTGAAGGATTGGGGAAACACCACCCATCAGGAATCAGTTTCCAAGGATAACTGCTTACATATAGGTTATTCCATAAAATTTAGCTCTAATTTTAAATTCTGTTTTGAAATTTAAAAGTAGATCCACCATCCCATTAAGTTACATTAGGGTGACATCCTGGGTTACTCAAAATCCACAGTGGGGAGCAGGGGGGAGGGAAAGGTGTGGAACTACAGAAGGAAGAAAATAATAGATAAGTAAATTTAGTCTAGGATAAAGGGGAAGGAGGGGGATGAAACCCAAGGATAGCCCAGCAAGGATCTGCTGCTGAGCTTTGCTAGTTCAGAAGAATTGAGAGGATTCTCTCCTGAGGAGAGGTTTATTTCAGAGAAAGGATGAAGACCTCCTCAGCTGGAGAAAGCATTATGAGGGAAGAAGTGAAGCTGAGAGTTAAGGGATAATGCCCCGCAATGTAGACTTCCTGAAGTAGTTTAGTAGTTGTACTGGCGCTGGCATGGTTGGTAGACAAAACTACCCTGGTGTTTGGCCCAACGTGAATGGCGCTCCCTGGTGCGGTTCTGCCGCTGCATAACCTTCTGACTGAGCTTGTGCTTCTCCGCCAGTTGCTTTGCCCTCTGGATCCGCCGGACCTGGCTCACCTTCTCCAAGATGGTGGCTTTCATGGTGAGGGAGGTGGTATGATGTGGGGTGTGGCGCTCCAACCGGGGTTCAGGCACCTCCCTAAAGTGAGAGACAAGCACATTAATGGTCAAGTTCACAATGCTGTCAGACAGGCAGTTGCACAGATACCCCTTTGCATATCCTAAACAAGCAGGTATCAACTGCCTATGGACTGTGCTAGATGGAGTTATTTGTGAGACTCCTGGCAGTTCCCTCTTAGTCAAATACACAAAGCATCTGCAGTGCAAGAGGAGAGGCAAGTCCGTCACCAAGCCTGGCAAAACCAAGAACTTCTTTGAAGACCATGAGAGAGCTATGTAAATAGATCCTCAGTCTAATCCAATACAAAGATTACAGGCCTGCATTAATCACCCTAAATTTGCAGTATCAGCAACATCAGCTTGATTCTTAAAAATGTGGATATTAAACAGGCTGATATCCCCTTAATCAGTATTAAGCTGTCTGTGTGTGTGTGTGCGCGCGTGCATGTGGGTGGGGATACATGCATGTTTGAGACACAAACGCACACAGGGCCAGATTTAGAGGAGATTTAAATTCATTTCCTCCATCCCTTCAGCAAAATCTTTATGTTTATCATAGGCTCCCTTTGGCTTAGTTATTCACATACAGTTCACACCTGTCTCTTAACCATCACCAGTGAACAAGTCCTATTGTATCTAAATGTTTTTAAGTCACATTTGTTGAAAGCCCTTTCCAAATTACATGGCCTCCTGAATTCTGACTGAAAAACCAACTTCATCAGGCAGGCCAGCCCTGCATACTGGGTAAAAAATCTGCAATAAGCACAGCTACTAAAAGATATAGGGTTTTCCAAGATAAAGTGACTGCTGCAGTTAAACCATGTTCCTTCTCATCAGAGCAGATGAGGGGAATCATGAACAGCTCAAGCTGTCTTCATTTTCCCTCTGCTTTTAACTATTATTCATAGCAATTTTCTTTCATTTTTTAACCCACTGATTTCCATGTCCCAGTGACTCAAACAAGATCAAATTTTGGCTTTAAGGAAGAAGAGGTTTGCAAAGGATGAATTCAATAAAAACAGATGATGCTTAGCATTGCCCTCTGGCTTGACTAAGACTGGCCTATAAATTCCATCCAGAATGGGGCCACGACCATCTGTGCTGCTGTATAAATAATTATGGTCTAAGACCTGCATTATCATGATGTTTTAATACTGCAAGCTTTATGGCTCTTCATATCTCCCTTCGGTCTTTCACTCTGTTTGTCTGCCCAGTGGATGTGCTTGCAAGATAGTTTGGTTTGATTTTTTTCAGAAACGGAGGGTGCCGCTATATGAGACATTTACTGCAGAGTAGACTAATTAGCTCCACAGTAAAACATCTCTGTTTATACAAGTAAAGCTATTGGGTCAGAGTAAACTAATTAACTCTGCTGTAGTAAACTAATTAACTCTCTTCAACAAGGTACTGCCAGATACAAGTACTAGGTTATGGCAGAGTTATTTACTCTGCCACAGTGCGCGTGTAGGCGCTGACGGGCTGGCTGGAGCATGAGGGTGCTGCCACACTGTGCTGCCCTGACTCAATGTGCTGTGGTCCCAGGCGCACATGTAAACGCTGCATCTGGGAGCAATAAACTCTGGTACAAACTGTGCTGGCGTTTATTGTGTTGCATTAATATTCATATGTAGACATGCCCAAAGGGAAGGAAGTTGGTGACACCAGCAGTAGAGATGAGCAACCTGAGTGGCTTGTGACCCACCATGCTGGACACACTTCCCCGAACTGTTTGTGAAGTGTGCTGCTCCTTGATGGCAGGATGTATATGCCTGGGAGAAAGGATCACTACTGCCTTGCAGGAGGAGTCCACCTGAAAAGCACAGGGCTTTCCTTGTCCTTGCCCTGTGTTATTTTCCTCCCTGGGAGGGTGGTAGTTTAGACATTAGGGACAACAGAATTCTGGAGTGGAGAATTTTTGCCCTCAGAAATACAACTTAATTGCAGGACCAAGGAGAAGGAGAAGCAGAGGTGCTGAGTGGAGGGAGAAGAACTCATAAGCAGTGCACATCCATCCTTCAGAGTGAGCATTGTAAATCCTAAGAGGGCAGCAAGAAGCAAGTGGATCCAAGTTCCTTGTCTACATAGAACATTGTTTTAAATATTTTTCTACTATAAATACCCTCTTATAACTTTTGAAGCAGGTGCATCAACAAACTGTTCAAACCCTTGTCAGATTTTGAAGAAAGAAGCCAGCAAACCTGATACCTGTTAATACATAAGCTGGCAGTCACACAGCCAAATGGCTTTGGGTAAATAGGGAGACAGCCATGAGGATCTTGTAGCAATTTGGCTGGAAGATGAAGCAGTTACTTCTGCAGGACATTTTCCTGAAGCAACTTTATGGATGACCAATTCTGGGCTCAGTCAGTGAGTAGCGAATATTGAGACTGGATAGTTTAGCAGACCTGGAATGATCAGCAGTGACAGAAGAACTTGGATGCAGTAGACCTTTGCCTGTGCAAAGCTCACTGCAGAGCTATCATGGTGGAACACCTACATGCAAGTTCCCCTCAGCCTGGAGAAGCACAAGGCCACCCCTGTCTGGAAGCTTGCCACCCCCAATTGCTGTCAGTAACTAACTAGATGGTTACAATAAATTAACCATCCAGGTTAACACAACAGAGGGTCATGAAGCTTAGCAATGCACAGGAGGTTATTAATGGACGTTCATGGTCAAGAGTTCCTAACTGCGCATGAGTCATTGATGGGAGCTACATGATTATTCTCTGCCCTCCTCCGCCAAATCAGACCTTGAAGTCATCAACAGAAGGTATTTTCCCATGGTGCTGAAGGACCTGGGTGGTCACTGGGGCAGATTCACCAGTCATAGGGTGGTAGGTCTGGAAAAGTTCAGGTTGTCAGGAGCTCTAGAAACTGGCCTCTCCCATTCAGTGAATTTCTGTTCTTTGGACCACTAAGAATCTCAGTGGTGACAAGATTCATCCATCATTCTAAGAGATCTGGCTTACCATCTTGCTTCCCTGGCACTTGAACAGGAGAAGTTAGCTGTTTATCTCTACCCTGAACAGCTGCAGAATGCTAGTGGAGTAGGCATTTGGAAGGCTGAAGGGAAGGTGGAGGTGCCTCATGACAGCTTCCAAGCAAAATCTACCTCATATGTTGCCCAGCTGCTGTGACAAGCAAGGCAGGACCCCCACTGATGGCTGGGAAGCCTGGTGGTTGTGGGATTTTCTGGATGTTATTAACACCTGAACTGTGTGCCACCTACAGGGATCCTGTATGGTCACAGAGACAGTGTCAGGGATGCAATTGCTTCCACTTTGAGGCCAGGGTGTAGTGTTTGAAAATGAAGGTGCTGTAACCAAGTGCATTCAGTGTGTTTAGGTCAAGAGTTTATGAGGAACTAATCCCATTAAGGAAGGTTTGCCCCTAAAAGAAACTTTTTTACCCAAGGAAAACAAAACATATAACAAAAACTTTATTGATTCAGCATAATAGTGCAAACTTAAAACCCAGAGAACTGGGTACCACCTTACTTCCTCTTGGTAAAAAGCTCCTGTACCAATGGGGCTGGGTAGGTAAGTAATTTCAAATCCTTACCTATACAGGAGGTCCTTACACTGGAGGTGCTACACTGAGCTGTATGCTCATGAGGCAGAGGAGGGCCTTATTCAAAAAGGCAACAAACAAACACACCAGGAAAATGCTACTGGTTTTCAGGATGCTCCCCCCACCCAAAGCCAGGAGTTGAAAGGACAAAATTCTTATTGAGATGCCCCATCATTTTTGTCTTGTATCCTCTTTCATAACAGCTGCAGAGCAGCATAAAATGCACTGCAAGTTACACTTTGCAGCAATTCTTCTAAACCCAATGTGTTAACAATTCTGAGGATCTAATTATAATCACTGTGTATTCAGAAATAACTCTGAAGTCTAATTTCAGTAATTTACTTCAAATTGTAAAAGAAGTTAAAGCCCAGGGAACTGATCAAATCAAGAACCAAAGTAATTTTTTCTACTGTTGTTTATGCTTTTTTCTTTATATCTGTTGTTCCAATACATACACCTGTCCAACATGTACGTGACTTTTAGCTTTTGTGGTCCTGTCATCTCAAATGGGAGAAGATGGCTTGGTGAGTAGGAGAAAAAGAATCGAGCAGCACAGGAAGGAAGATGGGAAGTGGCATGTTTGACTGATAATACTGGGTTTTGTTAGTTCAGGGATATAAATCTTCCCCAGGATGAAAGGCTCCAGCTTGGACACCATCTTGAGCGCAGAGGAAGCTGAGCAGGTGGGGAGCACCCGATTACACCAGGTAACAGGGTGGCATCCAGTCAGTATGAAAAAGAGGGCTCTTGAAATCCCCCTTCATATTTCTATTGCCATATAGCATATAATATATGTAAAGCTCCCTTCCCTTTACTCCTCAATAAACACATAAACACACTGTAGTGTCAGGCTGGGTCTCTTCCTGAGTTTCAGTGGAGGAGCTTTGGATGGGGGGTCTGGAGGCCACACAGATCTTGATTGCCTGGGGAGATCCCTCCAGGTCAGACTCCAAAGCCATCTGGGTGCCATTCTGCATCGTCTCCAAATTGTTTCAAATTCCAGGCTGGAGTCAGTGAGGGCCTCCAACCCAGCTCATCAGAGTGTAAGCAGGTTTCTGGAGCATTTCCTGGGATCCTTTTCTTATCCCCAGTATTCCTGTAGCTCTGTCAGAGCTCCTTTGCTCCATGCAGCAGTAGGCCAAGTCCCAGGAAGGGGTGGATCCAGAGGGGGTGCAGTAGCACAGGCACATCCCCTTTTGCTGCACATGAGCTCTTGGTGCAGGGTCTGCCTGAGGTCCCTGCTTTCCCACAACTCTGGAGCCCAGGGGGTGGGTGCATCCTCCCGTCTTTTCCCCTGCTGCTGAATTTAGCAGGGAAGCAGGGGAAAGGGAAAGGTGAACAGCAGTAGCATTCACCCGCTGGGCTCTCGAGCCAAGCAAAAGCAGGGCCCCAGCCAGACCCCAGCCCAAGCAGCTGATGAGCTCAGAACTCACTGCTTACACTGAGCTCTGGCAGGAGCTGGTGCTGACTGTACAGTAAGCTCAGAGGTCACTGGGCATGTACAGCACAGCCAAAGTGGGAGGAGGCCACACCCCCACTGTCCCATTCCTGAATCCACTGAGGGTCCCAGGAGCACTCTCTTTTCCTGCCTTTGCTTTTTTAGCTTGTGGCATCTTGGTAATTGCTGTTCAAATAGGACTGGACCCGCTCCTTTCTCCAGAAGGCAAGAAGTTCACGACTTCCCAATAGGTCCATGCAGTAGCAGGGGGCCTGGCTGCTGTCATGGAGATGTGAATATGGGACAGCACAGAGAGGACTGCCAGAAGTGGTGTAACTAATAGGGGTGCAACCACCCAATCTTAGCCTGTGCTAGCTCATTCCAGCAGGAGGTATGTATGTCCCAGAGCAGATTATTGAAACTGGGGTAAGGTTCCAGACAAACCAAATAAAGAATTCGTACATGTGGACATAACGCAGTTTATAGTAACACATAACATTATCACAAAAAACACTCCTCTGAAGATAGGGCTGTATAAACTCTGGATACTTCCCTCCTTCACAGGGGAATCTTTCTTTAGGCTTCTAGCCATTTGGCGTTACTTGAATGCTAAGGGTGCTCTGTCCACTGGGTAAGGCTTCCCCCCCCACAATACTTCAGAGACAGTAAGAGACCTAAGCTGTAATTGTAGCTGTGCCACTGACTCAGTGTGTGTGACCCTGGCCATGTCTCCCAACTCCTCTGTTCTTCTGTCTCCCTAGCTATAAAGCAGGGGTGATGTCACTTTTCAAAAAGGCTACATAGAAAAGCAATAGCATTATTATTACTATGATGCCCAATGCACCATGGCCAGACTCACCCTTCACTGATCTGCTCATCAGGGCTCTCCCTTTCCACCACGATGCTGTTGCTGGTGACATAGACGGACATGCTGGGGTGTTCAATCAGAAGGTCCTCCATAGGGTTGCTCTCCATGTTGACAGGGGCAGGGCCTTCTGCAGTAAAACAGGGGGGAGGGGTGACAAACCAACTCTCGTCCATCAAGCAGGGATCGGGCTGGGAGGGCACGGGCCTGCCGACACAGTCACTGAGTGAGTGGGGCGAAGAAGTGGTAGGTGGGGGAGACCCATGACGGGAACGGGAAGTGCAAACGGAATCCCTCTCACCTACCCGCTGTTCTTCACCTGAGGCTGAAGCGTAACTATCTAATGAGAGACAAGAGCCACCATTCACCAGGTGGGAGCAGCCAGTACAGAAGCGCGAGAGTTTGAAGCCATGCAGAGGGGGAGGAGGGCAAGCGGGGAAGGAAGAATCCAGAAGCAGAGAGACACACACACATACAATGTACAATGGGTGAGGGAGAAGGGAAGGGGGGAGAAAAAGGGGGCATTATTAGTACAAATGACACCCCAACAGCATCATTACTTTTTATATACAAAACTGTGACTGGAAGTATCAACCACCATGCAAAATAAAAGCACCACCACAGCACAGAGATGCCCCTGCGTGCTGGAGGAACTGAAAAACATGAGAGCACCTGCAAGGAAAAGCAGTAGGGGATGGGCTCTGCTGTGCTTTGCTCTCAGGTAGACGTGCTCTTGCCACTGTCCCAAGCCAACCATGGACTGTTGGGAATTAGGAGGAAAATATGGCTGAAGGTAATTTATGTCATAAGTGACACTGCAGTGATGCTTATCCTTCATCCATCCAGTCTGAAGTGCTGCTCTGCGCAGCCAAGACTGGTGCCATTTACACTCCTCTGTTAAAATCGAGACAGAAGACTCATATAACGCACTGGTTTACTGAGCTGGGTAGCAGCTGTAGTGTGCATGAAGGCTAATTGTGCTTATGAAGGAACTGGAAATCAAACCAGTCTAAGTTTGTGAAGAGCACCTAGCAACTTTTCCTGCAGGTGCTAAGCAGAGCCCCTGACTCCTTTACAGTCATACTAAAAATTAAGCCTTACTAAGCCTAACGGGCCAAAGTGCCATTCGGTATGGAGTTCCTCAACCCATTTCTGGAAGGGCTGTGAGAATAACTCGTTTGTGGCTGATGGCCAAAACAAAAAATTGAGAAACAGATGTTCATGTCTAGTTAACCCAAAACAAAATCTTTTTTGTTTTCCTTCAAGAAAATGGAAACGAAAGCCAACTGAATAAAAAATACTTTCAGTTGTTGAATCCATTTTTTTCATCTGACCCAAAATGTATTTTTATTTTTTGAGGGTGTTTTTATTGCCTCCTTTGAAAAATAAATGTTCTTAAGCTACCACATGCAATATAACTTTGAAACAAAAAGTTGAAATGATTCATTTCACAAATGTCAAAACAAAACTTTGACTTTTTCAATTTTTTTCCAGTTATTTTAGGGGAAAATTGCATGTCTGGTGAATAACCTATTCACCAAAAATATATTATCTAACCTTTGTCTCTAGACTGTTAGAGGCATGATTTTTAATCATTTAGGTGGCTAGCAGTGGGAGTTATGCTCTAACAGTGGTTCCCAACCCTTTTATACTGCAGACCGGAAAACTATCTAATTTACATATTTAGATTTAATTTACATTTTTAATTTTTATGGGGTGGGGAGGGGTGCGAGGATTGGATTGGGTTGGGGTACTGCAGCCGCAGGCACAGGGGGACCCTGCAGGGGAGGGAGTTGCGTAGCCAGTGGCCCTGGGGACCCAGCTGGGGCTGCCCAGGAAGAAGGGGCTCTGCTGCCTTTCCTAGGAGCAAGCAGCAGAGCCATATCCCCATCCTCTGCCCCAGGCATTTTCCTGCCTGCATCCCCCCTCTCCCACCGGGTGCGGCCATTGTGGCGGGATGGGGCGCATGAAGCCAGCTGCCTGCCTCGCAAGAGTGCCCTGCCACCCAGCTTTAACCCTGCATGTGACTGCTGGCGGCGGAAGTCACAACCCGACATGCAACCCACCACAGCCCAGTACTGGGTCGCAGTGCGGTTTTTGGGAACCTCTGCTCTAGAATGCCTTTAAACATGTGGCCTTTACCTACACTCTCTGTTTCTCCTTATTGTCTATCATTTTGACTGGAATGTTTCTCCAGATCTCCTTTATTAAAAGGTATGGGCTCTATGTAACAGGAGGCACCGGGAGCTATATAAGCCCTGTACCAGAGGCAAAGACCCAGTGTGATTTGAGCAGGGCCAGAGGTAGGAGTTACCTGCTGGTTGCTGAGGGAAGCAGTGCTAGGAACCGCGGACTGGCCCAAACTTTGCTCATTAAAGGAGCTCCCTGCACTGACTGAAGAAGCTGCAATGGAGGTTGATGGACCTGTGAATAGAACTAGGGAGGCCCAAGCTGGGAGATGTCAATGTGATTTGAGTACAAGTTGGGGAAGAGGCCTGGAGAAAAGCACCCTGCTGCAACTGGTCATGTGTCAGGTTGGATATATATTGCTGGTTATAACTGTGAGGCATGGCAGTGGGTGGGGTGCAGAGAGGACACTGATGATGTCTGGGGAAGATGCTGCAATCAACAAAGGATTGTTAGTCATTTGTTGGGGCACAGGCTGAGGGCCTAGTGAACTGAACTGTGCCTGAGAAGTGAAGGAATCACTGGTGGACTGGAGCAACCCACCAAATTAACATAACATCAAAAGTGTGGTGGGCAAGCACAGAGAGGTACCCTGGCTAATCAGGGAGGAGAAAAGACAGGATTATATTGACCTGGGACCTGGGGTCTGAGACAGACATTGCATAAACCAGGACTAAGGACAGACATTCAGAAAGCCTGAGCCTGAATTGATTCAATCTTTGCAGGTTAATCTAAATCTTTGCTAGGCTAAATCACTTTGTAACCATACAGACATCCCTTCTGGACTGAAAAAATACCGGCACATGCCTGCAGTCTCAGGCTAGAAGCCCAGGGAGACTAGAGCAGCCCTCCCTTCCCTTCAACAGGGCTGAGCTGAAGGGGGCATGGCCAGGCCTCAACAGGATGCTCTGATTAGGAAGGGGCCCCTGGACCCCCTTGATAACAGAGCATTTATCAGCTCTGTTATCAGCATTTAGCACCCCATCAGAAAACAACGCCTTGCTCATTAGTTCAAGCTCTTCTTAAACAACTTTTTCCAAAGAAAGGAATGCAGGGACATTACCAGCTGATCTGTTGATTACCTCCAAAAAGCCCTAGGCAGACACTGTCCTATCTGCCTTACATAGCATTAGCTAGCATACCAAATGCTGGCTATGATCCGTGCTGTGGGAGAGAGAAGGAAGGGATCTCTGCTAAAGCAGCGAGGGGAGAAAGAGGGTAGAGGGGCATGGGGAAGCTAGCAGACCCTGCTTTGCCTGTAAGTCTCTGCCAGAGTTCCAGCCAGGTAGCAGAGGGAAGGGGCCAGCCCAGCTCTTTGGAGCAGAGAGCCCTGCCCAGCCCAGAGAGCATGCCAGGATGCTGGGGGAGTCTGATTTAACTTAAACCAGCAAGGGGTCTGGGACAGACATTGCATAAACCCAGTTTGACCCAAATCAGTTAAGTCTGATACCACATTCAACTAGGTTTATCTCAAACCGGTTTCATCCATTTTCAAACTGGTTTATGGGCACTGAATGCCTGTTCTGTCATAGGTTTAAACCAGTTTCTGATCACTTAAACCGGTTTATGTGTAATGTCTGTCCCTAACCCAGGAGGTGCCATACCTGCCTTTAGTTGTGGTCCTGTTACATTGTAGTAGAAGGAAAGATCAAGTTATAAAGTTTTGGTATATCCAAGAGCCCTTTGGATCTTATTGATTAAAATGTTTTATGACTTTCTTGGCATCCAAAGACTAAAATAGATTACAGTCATATAGAGAACTGAATTCTATTTGTATAGACACATGCTGGACTCAGTCTAGCATTCACCTCCTGCATGGCACTGAGGTGCGAGTGAAACCTGAGATGAATGTGCTGCTGTAGAGCCAAAAAAGAAGGGGAGAGAGAGAAAAGCATGAAGTGCTATGTGGACTCTCAGTAGCTAGTTGAATCATGTCTCCAGTTCATCCTACAAGCAATGCACCTGCTTACAGTTGGCTACTGTGGCCTAAGGCAGGGATTGACCACCTATGACCTGTGGATCAGATTCAGCTCACAGAACTATTGGCTCCAGCCCATGCATGTGGGGCTTCAGTGGCATTTGGTGGTGGGGGAAAGCGCTAGTTGTGGGCATTCTCCCAGTGCAGCTGCAGAGGCAAGCTGTGGCACTGCCTAGGTCCTAGTGCCTGTTCAGCTAACCTGGGGTGGCTTATTCCTGCCTGCAGCTGAAAAAAGTGGCCTATATGTGGCCTAAGGGACTTCTGAACTCTGGGTTCTCCTTATGCCTTTGCCACTGAATTGGTGAGGGACCTTGGGTAGGTCCCTTCATCTCCAAGTGCCTCTGTTAACCCAGCTCTGAGGTGTAAGTTTCCCCCCACAATCTACGGATTAAATATATTATGTTATTCAGCTGCTCAGAGAGAGGATATTCAGCATAATAGTTTCTTACCACACTGCATTAAATGTGGTACATAGATGATGATGAAGAGGAAAAGCATTGTAGACTAATAATTAACATTATGGATAATTAGAATCAAAATCCTGTATTATCTTCACTTTTGCCACAGATTTTCTGTTTTAGCTAGAGCGAATCATTAAACTCTTTATCCCTACACTTCTGAACAAAAGGCAAATTAACCCTTAACTTACATGTGGGGGAAGGCAAAAGGGCAGAAGAGCATCAGGAATATTGGTATTATTTAAAAAAATTCTAAGCAACTGATAGATAGATAGATAGATAGATAGATAGATAGATGTGTGTGTGTGCATGTGTACACAAATGCACATACACACATCTCCCTTAATTGCTTTGTGACTCTGGCATTGTTTGGAGAGATGGTTAAAGAGTCAGTGCTGACTGTGCAGGGAGGGCACAGAAAATGATACGTCACTTCAGATGACATCTTTCCAAAGGGCTTAAGGCAATCCAGAATTAGCCTCCCAAACAGTAGGGTGTCGTTCTCGGGTCACTACATGTCAGATTATTAATAGCTGCCTGCAGGCCAGGCAGGGGATTACTTCTCAACCTGAAGATAAATTTTGAGCATTGGGGTTTGCTTTGTGGAGTAAGAGTACTCTAGCCAAACACTGAATTATGAGTGTGAGGTCAGATTCAGAGCCAGGAAGCATAGGGGCACACTCGCGTGGAAGCTCCCAGCAAGCCAGTCTCCAGCGT